AACACAAGTCTAACATCTATTGATTTCAATTTTTACCTGAGAATTTCTGGATGATACTTCTTTCTAGGTGATTTTTCTGGATAATACTTTCTCCTTTACAGACGAGATGTACTTCTTTTCCGCCATGCTTCCCGTTTAAAAATCGATTGTGAGATGTATCGATAATTTCGAGAATCGCAGGATGTATGTTGCGTATTTCTCCGTTGGCGCTGTAATCGCACGTTTCGCACGAAATGTTAACTGAGAATAAAAAATAAAAAACTGTTACCTAAATCAAATACAGAAACTTCCTGAAAAATTCTTAGAAAAGAACGAAAATATTCATACACTAGATAAAAAATTATCAATGCGTTAAAATTGAGAAATGGGAAATTTTATCATGTTACACAGTAGAATCATTATTTTAACCATTAAATACATATATGCTTAATAAATTATTCTTCAATTTAGTATTAACATTGTTAAGAATTACAAAATATATGAAATTAGAATCAACAAATGAAACAGAAAATGTTATAATAGAAGTAAAAAGATATATATAATAATAAATTAGTCATAGTACAAGATCACAATATTGTACTGGTTAGAATTGAAATTTTGATAGAAAATTATAAACCTTTAGCACAATGTGTTCTATTTAAATGTTTATATGCTTTATTATTTCTTTAATTGTTGAAAATTATATGTAATAATTATTTGTTATTTAAATTAAATCTTACCTTGAGTTACAATTAAGTAACATTTTGTCCTTTACAGACGAGGTGTGCCTCCTTCCGCCATTCTTCGTGCTTTAAATTCGATCGTGGGAAATATCGATTATGTTCGAAAATCATAAGAAGTCTATTGCGATGGGGCGCTGTAATCGCGCGTTTCGCACGAAATGGTAAGTTTTTTTTCATGATCAGATTAATCATGATCTTGAAAATTGAAATCTTCCCTTTACAGTAAGCCACCATATCTAATTCACATCTAATTATATTGTTAAAATATATATTTCAATCAATTTTTTCTAATATCTACTAGATATAAATAATATATGAATTTTTCATTCCAATCTCCATCAATCGCTGTTTTAAATCGTTATATTCCTTCATTAATGAAGTATCACCACATTCAATTCAATAAATAACTATCGAAGCAGATATGACAATATTGTCCATATTTTTTTATTTTAATTCTCACTCAGTAGTAGTAGTACTGCAATGTTAAAATTTGCCTAAATTGGTACGACAGGATGTAACACAAAAATGATAAAGAGATCTTTGGATCCCGAAATACTAGGATGAAAGAATACATTGTATACCAGACTTATTCATATACCTCATCTGTAGTTGAACGTATTTACTACGTGGAAAATGAATCATTATATTTATCAATAATTATTAACGATATTCGTGATAGATTAAAAGCAATTCTTTTTTAAATTTACAGTAATAATACAAATTTTAGATAATTACACACTTTGCGTGAAACAAAGTAAATAATCTTGCACACATTTTTTCTTTGAAGTAATAGGATTATTTGCCACAAGAGGGCTAATATAATCGATTCTCATATGAACGGAAGTTACAGTGGTGCCATCGTAAGATCCTTTTAGGTTATTTTCGCTAAGCACGCTTTTCTATTCGGTAAGAGTTCGATATTGTTTAAAATTTTTATATTGTAAAATGTTCTTATAATAATACAAATCGGTTTTAAATTCAATTAGTAATATTTAATAACGAATAATATTGTATAATGAAACAATTAAACAAAAGGGTTTCAGAAACAACTGCGACACGATACGTTGCTAGAATACACGTTTATAAACGAAATGTCTGTTGTGAAATTTTCTAGTCACTTTTACATATTTTAGTAAATTTGATAATAAAAAAAAATAATAGATACCAAAGAAATTGAGAGAACGTAAAAAATTAGTTGTCAAACTTAACCATTTTACTAAGTAGATATTGTAACGTGTCTGGATTTTGATCAGATATTCAGATTTAATTTCTTTTATACTGAAAATATAATATTTATTTCTTTTATTTCCTTTAGGTACACCATAATGCAGATATTTGTGAAAACTTTGACGGGTAAAACCATCACTCTTGAAGTAGAAGCTTCAGACACTATTGAAAATGTGAAAGCTAAAATCCAGGATAAAGAAGGAATTCCACCTGATCAACAGCGACTTATTTTTGCTGGAAAACAGTTGGAAGATGGACGTACTTTGTCAGATTATAATATCCAGAAAGGTATCGTATAACTTCATGAAAAAGGTTTCAACATTTTACATAGCTCATATTATTATACATATGTTATTTTCATGTTTTAAACAGAATCTACCTTGCATCTCGTTCTTCGACTTCGTGGTGGTGTCATAGAACCTACTTTACGTATTCTTGCACAAAAGTACAATTGTGATAAAATGATTTGTAGAAAGTGTTATGCCCGTCTTCATCCACGTGCAACCAATTGTCGTAAAAAGAAATGTGGCCACACGAATAATATTCGACCAAAAAAGAAGCTAAAGTAGACTATATATTTAATTTGCTCAATTTGCAAATACATGTATCCCTAAAAAATGGTTTTAATAAAACACTCATAAAGTAACTAAATTTTTTTTGATATTTTATTATTCGATAATTTATGTGGATATAATTCATATTTTATTATATATTCATTTATATGGATGGATATTTTATTATATATTAATTTACATGGATATGGATGGATATGGATAGATTTACAAAAACAAAATAAATTTTATCATAAAAACAAATTTAATTTGAATGTATCAATCTCCTTTGTAATTGTTGCTGTTTTGTATAATTTTCATATAAGTTAATATCATTAGAGTTTGGTACAGAACCACCTACCTAAAGATACATAATATTAACATGATAAAAAAACTGCTTGTTAATAATATATACTCACCTCTGCTCTTTTAACATATTGCTCGTATATATTTATGCTGGATTTTTTTACTGTTGGTATTTGAACTATAATAGTTGGAACTTCAGGGAATGACATCTGTCGAGTTAATTTTAGATGTAATTTTGTGTACTCTGAAGGATATGTTGCATTACGCCCAATCAGCGCAAATCTACAAAAAAAAATATTTTATAACAAAATTATATTTTCCAAAATTTATAGAAATAAATTTTTACCTTTTGTATAATATAACATCATTCCTGTTAGGGTATTGAGGTTGAGTACCATATACTTCTCTCATAGATGGAAACAACGATTCAAAAGATGTGAATTCTGATCTTTCTTTTGACATTTCCAATTGAGAATCATTAGTATGCTGATGATTTTCATATTCGTCAGAACTTGAATCATCGCTAGAGCTATGAAAGATATATAAAATTACAATCATACTAAGTATTATGATAAATATAAAATAATTATATACTTATATTATATGGCTTGTGTTACCTTGCACTAGATGTTGTGCTACTGGTACTACTTTGCCCAGTCATTGAAGGATTTTTCATATTAAGATTTTTATTACCAGTTTCTTCTCTTCTTCTACCTGGGCGTATTCGTACTGCAAATGGACTGAAACTAGTTGTAAAATGCGGCATAAAATCTCTAACAGAATGACTAATTTTATACGCATAAACTTCGGAAAGTAAGGACAATTCGTATGGCCTATAAAAAAATAAATCAGAATGTATATTATAATTGTAATTAATCACAATTTTATATACAAATCATAAAATGTTTCAATACCTATGATAATCATAATAAACATCAATCATCTCTTCTGTCGAGTTCTCAACTTGTATTATTTCTGAACACGTTTTTGTTACCTCATTTAACGCGTATGGAAGACATCTTAATACAGTAGTATCCCACCATTGTGTTAAAGGTTTTACTCTGCGAGAATAGTGACAAGCAGGTTTATGATGCAGATAATAATCTGTTAGGAGCTCCCAAATTGGAGGTTTCCCTTCTTCAGGTATAAATAAGCCTGTTAAAAATGTTTAAATATGAATTTTATTAAACTCTTTTATCTAATATTATTTAATCTCATATATATATTTACCTAAAAATAAATTAATTGTATGTTGCTTTTCTTGATCACTAAATGTGTTGCTATAATATCTACTAAGAGTTTGCATAATATCATTGCCCTGACTTGTCCATGGTGCAGTTTTTCTGAATCATAACAAAAACATCTTATCATAACTGGAAATATATGAAATATTATGCAACCTTACCTATAGGTTTTTATTCTGTGCACCAATTGAGAGCCACCATATTGTAATGCTAATGTATCGCCATGATCTTCGTATAATTCTTCTAACATTCTGACACAGTCAGAATCAAATTCTAATTTAGGAGATTCTAATACTCCTAAAGCACACAACTGAAATCCCAAAGCACATTTTCCTATTGCAAATTGTGCTGTATTCGTACGATCTAAACAATCAACGCAATTTGTTCTAATAATACCAGTTTGTAATGTACCCCTTTTACCAAAGCATTTTCTTACTTTATTTTCTATATAATGTAATTCATTATGTTTATTTTCTGTAGCAAATTTAGAATTAATACTAAAATTGAATTCAGCTGAAATATTTGTACAATTGTAAGTGCCAGATGTATTGAATGAGGAAATGTTTGAATTTTTGTGAGACTTTTTATTGTAATTAGATTGAGGAGAAAATAAATTTTTTTGACTGTAATACGGATTTTGTGATTGAAAAATGCCAGTTTTCAAAACTGCATTATGTGCTATATTTGCCAATCGTGCCATAACATTGAACTTTTTTCTAAAAATAATTACGTTATTATGATGTATGTTTGCAATACTTTTATGTATATGTTAAAATATATAATCATTGTACCTTTTGTTCATTCGAGCCATATCAAAACTTATATATTGAATGTGATGTTCTGGAGATAAAAATTGGTTTAAATATTTAACAGCCATGCACAATTCCTCACTTAATGTACTTTCATGTTTCTTTTTTTCACGTTTTTTAACAAGATTAAGAATTATAATTGGAGAACCGTATCTTCTCAAAAGCTGATTAAAATGTGCACCTGAGATTTTTGTCTTTTATTAATAATAAAATATGTATCGTATCATATGTCATAATATTTTAAACTTACATACCTGCTGTTTCTACATAAGGATCAGCTAAATCACAAGTGATGGTAGGTTTTGGAACCATTTTACTAACATCTTGACTCCAATGTCCAGGAACTGATCCACGCATTTGTACAAAAGAACTAAAACGGCCTTTACTTAAAGAACTCACTCCAGAATCATGTACAATTTGTTCTGTTTCTACTTCATTTGCAACATCTCCCTTAAATAATAAAATTATTTTTTAAATAATACATTACATAATACATTTTAATTGTTTTTTTAATAATTACAATATTATTTACTTATACATACGTCAAAATTTGCTCCACGTTTTAAAAATCTGGTACCTGCATATTTATTGCTCCTTCTAGCTATGATGATTATATAAATAGATCTTCCAAAAATACTGACATTTGATTGACCAATAAAACCATGCGTAACATATAAAATCCAGTCACGATGCAAGTCTCTTTCTACTGGTTTCAATAAATGCGAATTCCATACAAATCGGCGATGTGGATTACTTCGTACGCCATAATCAACATATTTTTCTATTCCACTGAAAATGTTATCAAATTTTATTAAGTGTTCAATTTTTAAAATTTTTAAAATTTATTAGTTTATTATTATGACAAACCTATTATTCCAATAATCTTTTTTAGAGGCCCACATATTAAAAAAGTTCTCTGCATCTTCAATATCACTATTTTCTGTTTGATTTGAGTCCTTGTTATTTGTATTAAAAATATCAGGTTTAATATGCGTTGGTGCAGTCATATTATTTTGTAAAGTATGTGTTAAATCATAAGAGTAACTAAAATAAAAGTTACTACTAAGATCTATGCTTTGAAACATCTTTACATATCTTTGCTCGTCAGGGTGAAAAACACGAATAGTATCATTTGGGATATAAATCATTGAAGTGTCTTCTATTTTATATATCGTATGATGACCAATTACAGCCACTTTGCGTCGTTTAGTAACCAGAATTATATAATATCCTTCCAAGAAACGTACAAAGCCTAACACAGTAATTTTTAATTATCAGCTTATTTATATAAGTATAAATAAATTTCAAATTTTACTTATCACATATTTAAGGTATTGTGCATGCTTAATAACATGCTTAATTATAAATAAAATGGCATGCAAATTTTGTGTTATACCATGCTAAAAACATATATATGTTGCAACATCCTATATATATATAATACACATAATATATTTATATCAGTACAAAAAATAATTAATATTAAATTTTATTGCGTCCAAATTTATTTTTAAGTATTAAATTTCAAATCCAATAGTTTATTACAAAATTGTCACAGAGAATGATTATTGTCACAAGTAAGCTACATTATATAATATCTTATTGTATTACACATAATAACAATTACATATTATAAATTGTATACCATTTATATATAAACAAATATTATATTTTCTTTATTAAAAATAATTTTATTTCAAATATATGATGTTTCATTGAATATTGAAAGCATTGGTCCTTACCAAGAAGACCAAAAGCTGGTACTAGTCGAGGGAAAGTTTCTCTCTGCCACATTGTTTTCCAGGTGAATTTAGTTTGAGTTGGTTTGTGCAATGGTTTATGATATTCTTGGTGTTCAGATTCCTCTGATACACCATTATCAGATACGGATTCTTTATGAATGTTGCTGCCTTTGTTAGCAAGCAAATATATTATATATGGAAACCAAGTCTTATATAATGTTTTAACAATAGTTTTATTCCAATATTATTATATATGTATGTTACTTTGTACTTATTACAATATAATAAACATACATGCCAAAAAATAAATCATGCAAAATTAAAAAGCTTAAGCTATATGTGTAATACACATGCATTCACATATTATAACTATATGTTAATAAAAAATAAAATATTATAAATTGTACTCTTATTCTTTGTACATAATTATTTGTCATATATAATTATTATAAAATATGAGAACTTTCTTTATTGTGGAAATACATGCACTGTTTATGCGAGAAATAAGTAAATAAATTAATATTGCTTACCAACAATTCCAAAAGCTGAAACAATTTTGGCAACTCCTCCAGTATTATTTCTTTGTCCAGTACGTGTACGATTACCTATATCTATCATATTTACAAGATCCTTTATTTCATCTTGAGTATACTCCCTTTTATCATCTACAACAACTAAATCTTTTGGTTCCATACGGTCTATCTTTAATACACGAAAACGTGTTAAAGTATTATTTGATCCCATTAAATAAAATCTCTGTAATATAAATTATCTGTATTCATAAGTATACTTAAATAATTTATTATTTATAAGATTTAAATCTTACAGATTTTGTTTCATAAAGTGCAATTTTTTGTATTGAAGAAATAATAGGATGAAATACTATAGTTGGAACAATTTTTTCATTCATTGTAAAAAAATGTTAATTCAATATATTTATAGTTTTTTTCTCAAGCTATTTAATAGCTTTCTTTGAAACTCTTTGCCTATTATATAGATTGAAATCTTAATATCACAGACAGCACTTAATTATAACTCAGAAAAAAATATAGATTGATAATTCATTGTACTTTTTTCTTCTGTGCTCAAACATAGACGAAATATACATCTACAGACCAAGTCCATGTATTTTATAGAATTTCGTATTTTAAATTTTATTATAAATTTTTAAATATTGACAGAATAAAAAAATTACTAGTTTTTTAGTGTATTCTACGACAAAAGAACGGCGATTCAATGCTATAGAAATGTTTTAAATCATACAAAGATTTATATTAAATAACAAGTAAATAATTAAATAAATAATTGTTATTATCATAATATTGATAAGCAAGGTATTTTATAGAAAAATTTCGAATAATATTTCAATTAATAAGCGTAATTTTTAATTAGTGAATTATGGAATTTATGTTATTTGTCACAACCAATGCACTGCACAATTATAATAAAATTGTTAAAAAATTAACGTAAATTTGAATATGTAATATAAAGAATATGTAAATATAATCATTTTAATATTTTAATATTAATAATAATTTAAAATGGTAGAAAATTTTGTTAGTTAAAAATTTATACATAAAATCATGTATTAATAATTTTAAAATTTTAACTTATACACTGAAAAATGTGATAAATTCGTAAAACATAAATAGAGTTTTTTCTGATATAGAGTAGAATGTTTTCGATTACTTCGTCTGCGGTTACTAGCTTCACATTTCGCTATTGAAAGTTTGCAACACTGTAATGCTAGTTCATTCGTTAGTTCCCCAATTCACCGTTATTTAAATGTAGAATGCGCTAAAAAACTAGTGATTTTTTTAGTATGTCGGTATTTCAGGCCACGGGCCACGAAAGTTCGTAAGGTACAATGTCTATTGATATACCTCGTCTGTGCCGCAATACTACTAATGATAGCAATTGAAATCGAAAAATATGGACAGATATGCGCTGAAAATTATTTATTAAATTGAAATAGTAACAGTTCATCAATAAAAGAATGATTTGAGATGATTGACAAAAATTCAGACGAAAAATTTATTATACATTTAATTTATATTTTTTAGAAAATGTTTAAAATATGGTATTTTTATTAATAACATAATTAGACGTGAATTAGATATGACTTTTTTATTTATTTTACTGTATAGATTCATAGTCTAAATGAACTACATGATATTTTTTTTAGTCTCTAAATTTTGTAAAGAATTGTACCTATCAAAAAGATATTGTTTAATATAAAATACATTTTTTAGAAAATTTCGATTTTGAATCGCTAAAAATATTATTATCTTACTTGAAAATATTATTATAAATATTTTATATAAGATGTAGCTATTTTCAAAATTTCTGTCAAATTAGAAATAGGAAGTTTTTGGAAATAATAATCAAAACAATTCATGAAATTCTAATGTATATTTTATAATAAATATTTCTAAATATATCTACACAATATGCATTAGTTTTTTATTTGAATTTCTGTAGAAGCTCATATGTATAATACATATTCACAACAGTTCCAGCAACACAGGTTGCAACGCAAAAATAATAAATGAGTTGATCAGATTTACCTCTAAGAAGATAGGTTGGTGCATCACTTGCCTGTAAAATGCAAATTTTTTGTATTTTTATATTCATTTTTTAAATATAATTTATGATCCACAAATATTCACCTGCCACTCCTGTTGTAATTTCTTCATTTTTGGAGGTATCGTAGAATAATGCTGTTTAGACAATGACGTTGATGCTACCTTAGTTTTAATAGTATCAAAAATCAGTTTTGGTGCTTCTATTTTTTCTAATGGTCTTGGAGACTATAATACAAATATTAATTCTTTATATTATTATACAAAATAAATATTAAAATATCAATAAAATAAAATAAAAGATAAAAGGCATTTAATTTAAATATGTAATATTTTAAGTTCTTCAATATTGATTTATATCTAGATTTTGCACACATTATACTGTTATATTATATAAGTATATACCTATTCTTTACCTATCTTTTACATATTATACAGAATATCATTCAACAGTAGTTTAACATAAAATTTTATAAGTTTTTTCCATAATTATTACAGTAACAAAAGAATACATCGTACTTTATTGAAATAAAATAAAAAAAATTGTAAAAATTGTGTGGAAGATGTATGAAGTAATTTGACTCATGTTCTTATTAAGAATTTACTTTAATTTTTATAACTAATTACTCACCAATGGATAAAGAGCTTGTAATTGTGTCGCCTGTCTTAAACGGCCGGTAAATTTACTAAATTGATGGAATGACATTTTATCTGTTTATGTAACGTATTGTAACCTGTCCTTATGATAGCAGTTCTGGATAGTGATTTTCGTACTCTTTGGAAAGGGAAAGCATGTGATATATATACATAGTGATATAGGTAGTTAGTGATAAGTTGGTAGAACTTAAATGTAGAACTAATTATTCACTAAATTATTATTACATTAAATGTTATTGGATAAATTACATATATTAATTTATTTTCAATTAATATTATCCAACAGCATAACTTAACAAAATTATGCTGAAAATTGAAAGATCATATACAGATAATATTATTATGACTAAAATATATCATACTTTTTACTACATTTCTCAATTTAAAAGTTGTGTAAATTTATTACATTCTTATAGAAATTAAATATATATATTTTTATTCAATTTTTATGTGATATTGAAATCTAAAAATTATGACAAGTGCTCTCTATAGTGTAGGCCATTATTCATGGTTAAAACATTGCCTTGGAAAAAAGATACACATTTTTGAATTTCTTTTGACTTACAATCGTGTTATAAATAATTTTAACACAATTATTGATAAATTATCAATGAAATATGTAAGTGCAAAATATTGTTAAATATATATTATTTATTGTATTTATTGTATATTATTTAACGAATATAGTAATTAATAGTGTAGATAAACAGAAAAATTTGATACTCTACAATTATAAACATTAACTCTTTGCTGTCTTACATCGAATGTGGCTTCATATCAAGCAGTGATAGCAGTTATTCTAAGTTTTTCTCATAGTGTCATAGTCATATTTTATATGGATACATTGATGTAATTTGATACTAACAATAATAAGATGAGTCACTATTACTTCAATCACCAATGCATGTTTCATATAAATCATTTGCTGTCAGTAAACAATAAGAGAATGAGCCAAATTTAGGCAAATCTTTCAGCAGATTTTGTTCCTGATTTCTCTGTGAAATAAAAAAAGAGACAATCATCATCAACAGATCATGAACAATGTTTAGGGAAAAATTGACATATTGTATCCACAGCGTATATAAGAATTACCATTGCATGTTTTAATTGTAAAATATCTGGGGAAAGAAGAGAGACTTCTTTTATATGTGAAACCTGCGATAATAATTTTTTTTTCAACTTTAATATTGTATTTGATATAGTTATCCATTCATAAACATATGTTGAATTAATAAGCTTGTAAATATTTCATAAAGTAAACAATACTAAGCGATGCAACGTCTGAAATTCAAAATCAGTATGGATCACAAAGGGTTAAAAGTAATCAAACTGTATTAAAAAATATCATTTATATATTATTATAAATAATTATATTATTTTATTCAAGCAAATATGGCGTGTGTACTTGTGTATGTGAAAATATATAAGTTACAAATTATTATTATTATTGTCTGTGAAAATATATAAATTTCATATTATGTTTCAAATATAAAATATATTTAATAATAAAAATCAATATATTATTTCTTGTAACAATAGTTAAAAACTTAGTTTACCTAGCATAAATATACATACATAAACATACATAGTTAGCCTAAAAGAGAATTCATAAATATAATGATGTTAAATGTTGTTCTCATATATTATAAAATTATATTTGTTACTTTATATTTACAAATTTAATAATCTTTATATATATTTTCAGAATCACCAAAAAATAACTACATGGATACAATCTTTTAATATGGCCTAAAAATCTACAATTGCATTCTTTTTCAATAATGGTAATTCAGTATAATAGTATTGAAAATATCTAATAGTAATTAGAACTGTGAATAATTTATAAAAGTAATAAATATAATACATTTACATTAATACATATTACATTTTGATCGTTTGCTGCAACCACAGCTCTATATTCTGTTTTACCGACCAGTTGCAAATAGCAAAACATATCATGGCTGAATATGGCGGTTTACTGATGAACAATAGCTCAAGTTGTGTTAATACATTGTATGATATAAAAGAAAGACAGACGTAATTAATGGTAAAATTTAATAACAAAATCGTGAATAAACGCTGTATAGTGCTCTGTAAGTCTATATTAGTAAATGCTATATTATATTCATTGTATGTCATAAAAAAAAGTATATGATAATTACTATGTTATTATACTATCAGTAGAAATAATAGCATTTAACATATTTTTACCACACTGTCATAAATAATCGTTTAATTATAATAATTCATATTCACATTTATGAACTTTAAATTATCAATTTAGTGCTTATGGATCCTACGTCTAGAATACTATAAATACTGTGATACATAAGTTAAATCTCATGCCAAAATTACAAAAAAATAGAAGACTTGAATCTATGTGGGGTGTCAAATATTATACAGCAGTGAAAAATGCTGTTTTTATACAGACACAACCTTATGTGCCAATAGTTCCACCCCCATCTTTGAAAGAGCAAGTTCTAGAACATGAGACTCTATATATGTGTCCACAATGCAAAGACTGGTAATTTTACATATATAAAATCGTCACAAATATATTTATATAATTACTAGTATTATAAAGTATTATATTTAATATAGTTTTTAGTAGAAATATATTTAATAAAAAATTTTTATCTTTTATTAGCTTCTATTTTCGAAGCAGTTTGGATGACCATATTTCAAGAAAAAGTTGGATATTGGGATATTGGTGTCAGCATTGTTTTGTAACTACCTGTAAACATAAGTCTACAGAAGATACCTTATGTTCCACATGTACACAATTGGATCATGAAAAACGCTTATATTTACGAAGTAGAGGTTTACGTAGTAATAAAAAACTTGGGGCAATAAGAATTTTTTATAATCAGTGTCAATTTTTTTCACATTTGAAAGCCCATAATGTAAATTTGGTAAACATGGGTGATTTAATGTTAATGCCTTTACCAACAAATACATTTGATTGGAGTCCTGAGATAGATATAATTTGTGAAGCACTAATGGAGCATACGTTTATAATAAAAATTCATATAATGGATTGGTTGAAAGATAAAGCTATTAGTAATAATTGGTGGCAATTGACAAAAGATACTAATAATCCAGTTGCTCTCATTCTCAAAGGTTATAAAGGTAGACTTCATTTTAAACCATTAGAAATACCAATAGATGAGGAAATTTCTATTTTGAATCATGCTCATCCTTTGTCTAATAGTGACAAGATCTATTCTGACACTGTAATTCTTGATTCTGTAGAAAATATGGATAAAAAAGCAAGTTCATCTTCTACAGATGTAATTTCCATCTCTGATGAAAGAGTAATTGAAAATGAAGATAATCCTTGTAAAGTAAATGATATTACTTTTGTGGATTGTGGATTATCAAAATTCTTTGAACCTGAATTTCCATTAAACAATAAAGAAGGAAAAGGAAATATAAAATCAGAACAAGATGCATCCACTACTCAAGAACATTCAAAAGTGATTAATAAGTCTAAACAAAATAAAATAAGACATTTAAACTCCGTTTTACCCAATATGATTATGTCATATGGCAATACAGTGATAACACCTAAACATGATATCAAAGACTTATCTAAACATTCTACCAATAAAAGATTATGGAAGAGCTTAATATATAAATCTAATAAATCTAATAATAATGTATCAATCAAGACAGTTACAGAAAGCAATAAACAAGTAGAGTTTGATAAAAAAGAAAATAAAACTCTCTTCAATAATTTAATAAAAGCAGAATCATTGTCTAAGGTACACTCTGATACATCTTGCATAACAAAAGTAGATACATGTAAAAATAAGTTAGATAAATTTAAACAGAATATACATACATTAACTGTTACTTCTGGTCAGAAAGTCGTTACATTTCAAAGCACGAAACGTATTGATATTAATGCAATTATTAATCAACTACCATCTCACATGATTAACAACAAAAAGATTGTTTTTGTGGGACAAACTTCTGATGATACATCTGTCCGTAAAAACAAAGAGTCATCTTCAGAAGGAGTAATTCATTTAGTACCTGTTGATAATGCAAAATTATCAGGAACGAAAATAAGTGAAGAAAGCGAAGAACTTTTGCAAATTGATAAAGAATATGATGAAAATATTTCGAAAAATCAAACCGAGCCCATTAAAACTTTTTCAAGTAAAGTTATATATCAAAATGGGCAGAAATATATTGTTAAACAGTCTTCAGATCTTAATAAAAATTTAAAAAGCACACTTAATGCTGTGGTACCAGTAAAAGATGTTCAAGAATCAAAATCTACTAATGTTCCACCATTAGTATTCTACAATATACCACGATTGATACCTTTAGATTCCACTGAAATAGAAAATGCATCGAATCAAGAAAAAATAAATTCATTTCATAATGATGTTTCTCCTTTAACGCCTTCGCCATCCCCGTCAGAATTATCAAATAGCTCCAGCTGCGATATTCAATCTAAACCTTCTTTGTCAGTGAAAAGTTCTCAGAAAGTTGATGTACCTCATACTGAATGTAAAGATATTGGTATACAAAATACAAAGAAAACGTTTGAAAGTTTATCATTTCACAAAGGAGAAGACCAAAATTTGTATCTGGATGTAAAATTTCTTAACCAAAAGCCAATTTATACTATTGTCGACACATCTACGATGATAACGAAATGCAAAGAGGAAATGCTAAATGAATTTTTTCATTTTTCTTATTCTGAATTGAAGAAACGACACGACCATTTACAGGAAATTGCTGAAGAAATATCAAGAGTGATGAGTTTCGTAACTGATAATGTAATCAAAGAAAACTTAAAAGCGGTTCATATTTTACAAACTGTGCTGAAACATTGTATTGACAAATGTATTGAAAAATCTGATGACACTGAGGAGAAAGATGTATCGTTAAATGAATGGGAGGTAGAATATGAGCAAGTGGATAAAAGACCTATTTGTAAGGCATGTAACAAAATTATGAAACCTAAGCATTATATTCCAGGATTTTCGAAACTTGCTAGAAATGATATTTATTGTTCTTGTTATAGACACGTGTGTCACAAATGTAACACGTACCAAGGTAATTCAACGCGTTTCGTAGCTCATCAAACATTTCACGATAAAAAGAAACCATATTTATGTCCTGATTGTTATCGTAAATTTTCAACGTACAAATCGTTAGAGGTCCATACATGGACCGCCTGTTTTCATACGCTAAAAAGGCGCGTTCTCGGTTGCAAAATTTGCGAAATAGATGGTTTTCAAGATATGGAATCTATCGCTAGACATTTTGCTATTATGCACAGTCATAATAAGATAGTTTGCGATAAATGTTATCTTCTTTTACCATCATATTCTGAGTATAGAAAACATCATAAAAATAAACATTCGGATGCGAGTAGTCATCATCCTATACGGCTTGTATTGTGCAAACTTGGACGATGTATTGTACGTTACGAAGACTATATGTTACATATGGAGAAACATATAGTCGTTCAAAGATTAATATGGTTTAAATGTCCTTTTTGTACGTTTATTCATGTAGAGGCGAAACGAATTATGTCTCATTTGCAAAGTGGACACGAATCACGTCTGAAGGAACTTATAAGTTCTGAGGCATTGTGGAATGTTTTCCAAGTGGAAACTGCAGCAAATTTATTGAAAAATAATTTACAGCGAAATAAATTCACAAATGCACACGCAGGGTCTTGCAAAGATGGAACTGTTATGCCTAAAATTATAAACGCTAGAACTATTACGTCTGAGATATTTGAACGTGGAGCTCAGGGAGCAGATGATCACTTAATAAATTATGATACTCCGCATTGTTCTAAAATTGTTAATGTTAATTCAGAGTCGAGTGTACCAAAGATACTTGACGTTAGATCGATAGCTGAATACAAGAAAACTGAAACAACTTCGAAATTTGTAAGTACGGGAAGCAAAGGAATTAAAGGAAATAAAACTTGCAATGATCAACAGATCAAAACTGAATTTGAAGATATCATGGATTGTACATGGACTACCGAAGCGATCAAACCAATTTCAGATCCATTGAATATTGAATCGCTGCAACAAGATCATTTTCTGAGAATGAAGAACGGACAAGATGTACATGACACTTTGCAGAATAAAATATGCGAAAAGAAGGAAGTTCAATTAGTTGAACAAACAAATCAAGCAAATACTCGAGAGCAGCTGGAAGATATAAAACATGAATCAATTTCGAAACCTCCACCGCTTGCTAGAATTCCTCAGCATGTATTAGAAGCGAATCGACCTAAGAAAATTGGACAGACAACGAAAAAGAAAAAGACGTTAATATTTTCACACGATCAAAATATTAATCTTGATTTTCAACGAGTTGCTCTAGTCTCTTCGGACAATTCAAATGAGATCCTTAACTTTACGTGCCCTTTGTGTCGAGAATTAATAAATACATCCAAATCAGTCATAAATAGTCACTTTCAAAGTAAACACTCGCAAGATTGCAAGCCATCAACTATTACTGTAAGCTTGTTACGGGTATCACCAGAATTTATAAACGGTGGTTATAAGGAATTATTAGACAAGAAGAAACGCAAGTCTGAAAGTACCATGTCGAGTTCAAAAAAAAGACGCCGATGGAATCCCAAAAAATATAATAACGATGGAAAAAACGGAAATTTTACAGGAGTTGGATTATGCGTAACACAAGAAACAGCTGAAGACAGCGAGGGTAATTTTAGGTGTAAAAAGTGTGATCAACGATGCTCGAATATGTCAACTCTGAGAGACCATATCGCATCTAATCATAGAATCAAAGGTCGATACTTAGTGTGCCTCGAATGTGGAGACAACTTTGTGGTAGCACCTAGTTTACAAATGCATCTGAAAGCATTTCATGGGATAGAGAATCCCATTACTTACATGATGCAAAATACATCTTATGCCCCTGATAACGTTGATAATCTTGAAGTCGAGGGAAAATCAATCGAAGCAAATCAGTGTCACGTTTGTATGGCTGTTTTTGAAGATAAGGCAGCAGTAGATAAACATCTTCGAGTCCATGGAATGGCGTTCCTAAATCGTAAAAGGATAGAGGCGCAAAACGCTCTGAAAAGTCCAGAGAAAAAAAGTGAAATGCAGGAAGAAAAATCGACATCGGTTAAAGCATGTCCAAAAGAAAATATTCGAAAGGATAAACCTGCAGAAACTATATTGGAAAAAATCAGTGTAAGTTTATAAAAAACTTATTTCACGTTTTCATTTTGTGCATACATTAATTTCAATTGTTTCTTATTTCAGGCAACTATATGTAGTTAATGGAGGCGTAATTTTTGAAGATAAGGTCAATCGGAAGATAGTATATATTTAGACAAGGTTTAAACACGATTGCAAATCTGTGATTTTAACGTTTTATTTAAGTGATGAAAAAATGTTTCCTCTTTTTACAGAAAAAAATTGGCAAAAGTCATTAGTTATTTTATAGTATTGAAAAAAAAACGTGATCCAATACTTTATCTCGAATGAACTTTAATTAATATTAAGCTCAACATATTTAACACATTGCAATTCATTATAAATTTGTCATGTTTTGTTTGTAACATTTGTTAGTAACTTATGGAATAAGTGTTTTTAAATTTTTAAATCTTTTATTATAAATTACATAGTTCTGTTAGATCATAATAGAAGTATGCTGTGTATATACCGAGTGTTCGCGTTTAGGTTCATACGTATACTTCAGCTATATTCATATATACTATTCATCATAAATATCTGAATTATTTCTCTGATTTCTGACCTTACAGAATTTTAAAGAACATGTTTTACCATATGTTTGAATTTGTTTTGACAGCCGCTTTCATATGACAAACAAAAGTAGCATTCTACATGAAAAATTAAAATTTCGTGAAAAATATTGCAAACATAAAAAATTGTTATATATGCCTAGTTGGTCATAGGACCATGGACCATTTTGTCCTTTGCCATTATTTCCTTTTGTTTACCGTTTCCAAGAAAAATGGTGGACAAAAAAATAACGCGAACACTCTGTATATCGCAAATCGATTGCAATGTGTTAATTTTCTTAAATAACTTGAAATGTAATGTTGTACATATGTGAAAATATTTATAGACAAGTATTACTTGTAGAATTTATTTTTTCAAAATTTCGTTTCTTAATGCGTAATCAATTGAGTTATTTTATAGAATACACTGCGAAAACGTTTTTTCTTGTACGAATCTTGCAACCTAACTTCTCTCATATATAGCTCTATCTATTACATCCTTCGTATGTATGAAATCCCGCAGTTACATTTATGAAATAATGTAAATAATTACTCTGTTTTAAAAAAATATATAACTTTTTGTACTCTACTAATTCATATGCATCGTTACATTTAAATATAGATAAAAATAAAATATTCTGATTTACTTTCAAAAGAGATTACTACTTATATTTGGTAGAATGGAAATAATATCATTTGCAATAAATAGGTAGAATATATATATATATCTTTATTACACCATTTTTAATTGCACTGACAATTATTGAAGATTATTGCTTAGTATTAAGTTAGTAATTCAATGATTGACACATCGAGATACTCGAGGTACGAAACGTGGGGAATATTTCCATTTGGTTTCCTATGTATATTTATTTATACTTTTTTACGCGTGTTAGTGTTAAAATATCAGTACATCACACTTGATGATTTACAGAAGAAACCGATATTTTTATTCTGTATTACGAAGATATTTTTGTGTTACATCGAGTGCAGGTACTTAAGGAAGGGTTGGGGTTCTGAACACTTTAATGTTGAACCTGTAAGAGTACTTTCAGCATGCCTTCTACGACTCCACGTAACTTGAATTGTTTTACATAAGAGTACCAAAGCACTGAAGATATGATCGGAATTGCATTATATTTACGATTGAACGTATTGATAAACGTTACGAACTTTCAACATTTGGGCATCGATTAGAAACAATTTCGAAACAACGAAGGAAAGATTACTATTATACTTTGGTCCCTCCATAAAATCATAATCCACAAAGCGATCAAAGCTGTATACTTTTACGGGCCCCATAGTTTTATCTTTGGCACAATTATTAAGGAACACACATGATAAATTTAAACGATGATTGGTTCTTGACCCTCGCGTTAAATTTTTGTGCAATCGATTTGAGCTTGATTTTTTTATGGATGCGAGTACTGAAGATTGTCACGTACACAAGTGATTGCATTTTTGTAGAGTTTTATTTTTTAATCGAAGAAACAAGAAAAAAAAAAAAAAGAAAAAAAGAACAGAAAGAAAGAAACAATTGAATATATCTCAAGCATCGTATGCATCGAAAATTTACCTTTGCTCTTCATCTTTTACCAATCAACAGTAACAATCTTTTTTCTCTCAATGAAGAACATGTGACAGGAGTCTACTAATCGGGAGAGGAGAAGTAACCGTAACAGGAAGTCGTTTTCTCCATATATTTTAATCTACACGGCAGTTGATTTTCCATCTTCGCACGTTGCATTCGTACAATTATCCGTCTTTGAAGGGGCATCTAGATTGATCGCATGAATTGTGGGGCTCGAGGGTCGAGAACACTCTAACTTCTGAACAAAGTTTGTACTTGTATCTAATTGGGCAGATTCGGAACTGGATTCTTTTCTAAAAGATGACACGCCATTTGTAGCACTCGATGTCCTAGTGTTTGTCGGCGATGAGGATGAGGAGGAAATTGATCGAGTGATTTTCAGCTCCGAGTCGGCAGGACTAATGTCGCCTTGTGTACCGCTCTCTTCGAACAGTTTTTTCAAATTGTTACCAAGCTTCGCGTTGTCAGGATTTACACTCGACTCCGCCATAATGGTTAGGGCCAATGATTCCGATGTTTTTCTACCTCGAGCACTGTTTCCCAATTCGCTTAATGGGATTCCAAATTCACGAGTGGCCCATACGTCGCTGCTAGGGCCACACGACGAGCCGCGAGGGAATTGAGAGACTTTGCTTTTTCTCGCGTCTTCCATGGAATGCCATCGATGAGATCTCGAGATCGAGGATCCTGGCGTGATCGTGTTCAAGCTGTTTGTCGGCACTATCCGATGAGGAAACCGCGGAGATCCTCGAATTTTTTCCCGTGACGATGTTTGGCTGGTGCTCGCTTCTACAAAAAGAGCGGTCCGAAGTCCGTGCGTTACATGTGTTTCGTTACGATTTGCTAACATCTCTAAATAAACACGTGTTTGAAGCGAAAGCTAATGTAAAAGCGATGGTGAAATAATTCACGAAAAATGAATAATTCGGGCGTACTTACTGGGTGGTAGGCTGAAATTGACTCTGGGCTCGCTGTACTCTTTACGACGTAGCCCCAAGCTTAATCTGCGATCTTCTTCGCTAGTAATACTAATTATTGGTCCTGAGCCACATCGAGGATGAGGCGAACGACTGCCTTGGGCATTAACTTGACAGGTAGATGCTGCCTTCGTGCCTGGTACCAAACCAGCGATGTAGCCCATATGAAGCCGTAGTGCCGATGCTACTCCTATGAAATTTCAATACGGCCAATCGTTTCCAAATTTCGCATGTCACACGACGTTCCATTATTAGTTGAGAAGAATATTGTTTATATATTGTTTACCCGTAAATGATGTGGTAGAAGTTTTCCTGCTTGTTGGACGACTGCCGAAAAGACTGAAGAGTCGCTGAAAAACGCCCAAACGATTTGGTCCTTCCGTCTCTCTTCGCCGATGAAGTTTGTAAATGTCTGCGAGGCTTTTTCTCGTGCCGTCCGGCTCCAAATCTGGTTGGCTGCTAAACGCTACAGTACCGCGGCGTATTCCTAATTTGAAAAAGAAGAAGAAAAAGAAAGAGAAATACAGTCGTCAGTCGGTGTTGCACTCATGATTAGTGGATACTAATAATCGCTGACATTCGAATCAATAAGGCGAACTGAAGCACGCAGCACAGAAGCGGAAGCAGGTGCCAATTGTAAGATATCGTCGAAGAGGAAGGAGAAGAACCACTTGCATTTTTCACCCAAGCACAACGTTCTAAATAAGATCTTCGTATTTACACGCGTGTGATCATCTTTTATAAATACATCCGCACGAATAACAAAGAGGTAATGTTCGATCGACAAGCTCCATGGTATTTGCAAATTTCCCAAAAGAATAAACGAGAATTCTGTTTTAGGTATTTACAAATTCGATTAGTGGACCGTTGAGTTTGTCTACCGATTCTATTTAACTGAATGTCACTGCAGTAATTGCAAACAATTGGGTGAAACGTGCAGTTTAGCGTGCAAAGAGAGAGAGAGAGAGAGAGAGATGTATGTGCACGTACTATACTCCTGTCAGGGACTTGTCCGAACTTGTCATGAGGTTTGGGACTCCAGAGCTCGGGGAAATATGAATGCAGCTTGGTGTCTCGAATGGCAATTAATATGTCAGAAGTGTATGAACTATGTTCTCAAGCTCTTGCAACCTAATAACACAGACCAATGCACTGACAGGCTGACAATCAGACAGGTTGGTTTCGTGTTAACTGTTTAGTGTGTGTAATATTAAACAGCAGCTAACGATAAATTGTTTTATTTAATAGAAACGGACTGCTGCCTCTTACTCGAAACAACACGCGTAGTATAATGAACATTGTACGCTACTAGCAAACATTGTACGCGGGAGAAACATTATTCAACAGTGCAGTTTTCATGCAATCTCGTCCCGAAAACAAGTAACACAAGCGTCTTTAAATATTGGACAAATCACCAAGTTTAATGGGGAAGGGGGGGGGGAGGAGGAGGAGGAGGTAGTTTCGTTATTTCGCCAAACAAATCGGAAACGTTTCTTTTGAAACGTTTGATTTCCCTATTCTAGCACCCTATGTATCGTTTCAACAATTTGAACAATTTCTTCGAATATCGATACAAGCACGTATATAAACGTCAGAATCGTTCAAATAACTGCGTGCAATAAACGGAAATCTGTCACCTTTCTCGAACATCTGAATGATGGAAGGATGACGAAGAAGCGAGAAGAACATTAATTACGTTATCGTTCCTTCTTTCTCTCCTTGGTGAAACAGCTTATTCATCGTGCAAATTCAAATCGGAAGGATATCATTTGATGGGAGGCAACGAATCGTGAAACGGTCCTCGTTCGTTATGGAAATTTATTTGCACAACGAATTCTGCATCGTGTGGCAAAGAATCTCACTCACCAGACGAATCAGCGGACGGCCAGCTAGCCCTAGGGATGACCGGTGGGAGGACGCTGAGCAATAACAAAGGTAGACCACCCCCGATGCTGGGATTGCGTTGTGGAATCGATGCGCTTGACGAAGCGTGCGATGGTTCAACCGGTTCCTGTGCCAATTGTTTCTCCAATCTGGCCAATTCCAGTTCCAGCTGCGCCATTTCACGACGGTACACGCGGTTCTGCACTTCCACGCGGTACTGAAGCTCGCTGTCGCGTCATGAAATGCCATTTTGGTTAAATTAGTTAGAAAATTAGCTGCACACTACGCGTCGTAACGTGGCACATAATGAGTGTCCACATAACCGATTCGCGTTCCCCATTTTCTAAAAGAGAACGGTGCCATCGAGAACTTTAAACGTCGATCGTAACGCGATCTCGTTCCCTTCTCTTAACTCGATATCGAATAAATTCTCAATGGGAAATTCAATAAACTTTTCCCAGTGGGGATCGTCCGGACGAAAATTCAGTGAAAGTCGGTAACTGAATAAAATATGATGAACGATATCTGTGACCTGGTTTAAACCGAATCGTTTCTTTGTACCGTTAGGAACAACGCGAGGGGATAAAAGGATATCGTCTCGAGCTAGATCATCGTTCAAACGATTGGTTACCAAACGAAAGACCTTTATCGTAACCGGCGTCATTATGCTCCACACCTCTTACTTTGCTGTTGTTTTCTTCTGATTTCCGTTTCCTTTCGATATCCTCTTTCTTGTCTGCGAAATAATTATTACGGCAGTAACGGCAATTTACTTACGTTCTATCATCGGTCACGAATCTTCTCGTATTGCATTCGATCTTCAGGCCGAGACTCTGCACAACGGGATCGGCCCTTTCACCAGCCAAAATGTTTGTTAACTGAGGGAGAAACAGCAACGCCAGCGTCGCGGTCGTTGAAGCCAAGATCAGAGCGGTAATCGTAACAAAGGCCAAGGTTGCGCGATCAGACATCAAATTTGCCAGTACCACTACGATCCCCGAAGTGATCACTACGAAATAAACACTCATGCCGATGTATTGCGAGTCGTTCAAAGCCGGTATTTTCACATGTCTGAAATTACAAGATAGAAATGTAAGAAAAAGCTGGGAACGTGTACAAGTTTAGGTGAAAAGACTGACAATTGAAATTTATAACAGAAACGCCACTAATGAGCTGGCAGCAAAAGTCAGATAAATTCATTGTTTCGTAACGTTTTGTTTCTTAACAAATTGCGCACTGTTATTTCTTGATAATAATTGCATTGATAATTGTATTATGTAATTTCTTAATAATTATGTTTCAATGTCTAAGAGTAAGATATATTTTGAAATATTCATAATATATATTTTGAAATATATTTTGAAGTATATATATTTTACATTTCGAATTGATGATTTCATTCTGTCATTTGTCGATTAAAACGGACAATTATATTAAAAAATATTTTTTTTTTTATTATAGACTGCCTCATAAATCTACATAACTAAAATCAAAAGTCAATTAAACACGCTAATGTTGTTTCAGATGGTGCCATGAATTGTGTACATCTGTTAAGGAAAACTTTTACGCGATTTTCACATAAATCCATAACTTTGCATCGAAACTATTATTTTTATAATTTCATAAATGTAACATTTTTTTCAGATGTATGAAAGACGACTATGAAATTTTTTTTCAACATTCTTTCCATTTTTTTTAAAAAAACTTTCTTCATATTTTGTTATTCTTCTTTATACTTTTTTATGCTGTCATAAAAAACATTGCTTCGTTAGTAAGCTTTCAAATTAATTTTCAGATTTTATTTCGAATAAATGCTGACAAAACAATCTTGTAAGAGACGAAATAAGGGTGTCTTACCCTAAATAGGGAATGGAACTATTGGTAAAAATTGGTGTAACTTTACGAACAGACGAACAGAGAATTCGGCACTTTTCGTTATTACGTCCTTGACTTAGCGACGCTTAATGCCGATAGTTCAATGACAATACTCCAGCAAAAAGAGGAAACATCTTTGCTAATGAACGCCCTAATGGCATCCCTCATTAAACTCCAATTCCGTTCCGACTTTGTCTCTCCAATTGGAAGTTCCACAGACTCGCCCCAGGGCATTTGTTTTAATGAACTTTTATTCACATTATAAAATCATGTTCTACTATCTATCGCACGAAATTTTCAGGTTAATCCAATATTTTTTACCTCGTTTCCCAAGCCATGTACACGCCGACGATCAGCAATAAGCCTTTGTAAATGTAGAGCGCGCCCAACCAGCTGTTCGTGTGTTGAGAACGGCACACCTCTACCTGTATCGAAAGGCAACGATGTGAATTAATTGATTAACTGATCTTTCGTTGAAGGGACAACTGTCGCTATCTTAATGAGCCTCTCGACCAAGGTTGCTAAAAAGATGAGGACGAGAATTCTTTTCGAATAACGTCGCGTCGACGTTTCATTTCGATACCTGAGGTTGGTAGACTACGCCTCTATCCTGTGGGCTAATCTCCAGAGTCAAGTTCCGGAGATGACGTTGCATAGGGTCGAAGGTCACCCACAGGGTCACCACGAGACCGTCTATTAGCAGGAGGACGCAAATTAAACTTATAAGCTGAGTATCCTGAAGTAGCTGCAAATAGTAGAATTACACACATGTATATGATGATTTATTTCGCACATGCGCGATATGCAATCTCGCGATTTGTAAGTTCGTTCTTTTTTTTTTTTTTTTAAATCATTTATCGGCCATATTAAACGTCAACTGCATTTTCGATCGTATCGTACCTTGTTCTTGACAACGCCGCTTCTGCTTCTTGTGAAAATTCGATGGACGCGATAGGTCTTGGTAAACATCGAGCCAAAAGCCAAGGAAAATCCAGCAGACAACAGGTACACTCTTGCCTGGAAAACGATAGGACTAACTAATAAAAAAATTACGGAATACGTAATTTGTATACTGTGCATAGTTCAATCAGAGCGAGATTTACTATAACAAATAAAGTGAATGTTCGTCGACGTTGGTTATTCAATCATTTCTGTATTCAATCATATTCGTATTAACTTCTTAATCTGCCTGGAGACGATATATTATGTACCCAAGATTACAACGAGAACTCCATTTATATAAATTTGTTGCGGGACATAATTTATATAATAGGAATCTACTGATCTATTTTCATATAATAAAAATTCAAGATCAAATAAGTGGATCTAATTAGTATGTTTAACCACTGAAATTACAAATTACTCAATAAATAGTGTCTATATAAATGGAATTCTGCTAGTTTTTTTTTGAAATGAAAATGTTTTTATATAATGATTTTCCGCTTGGTATGCAAAGCATATCATGCTAAAAATCACATAAGACACGGATACGTACATTAACAAAGAAATTAATTTTTATTGTTCACTGTGCCAACTAAATTTTTTCATCTATGTAGGTAAATTATATTGTAACCAACACGATTATACATGAAATAATATGTATTAAAAAATAATAAAGATAATTACTAATAATTCTCAGTATTTTTTAGTGAGACAAATTGACACATTTTGTTTTCATCAAATAAACTATATTTATTTTATACGTCTCTTTCTTAAAGTTTCACTTACAACACATAACGTAGAACAATCAAAGTATATTTTAGTACATTTCTTATTAAGTAACTACAATAGAATCTTGATTAACGGAACCACCCATTGTCCGAGCTCTCTATTATCCGAACGTTCTATCATCAGAATGTTCTGATTATCTGTATGTTACATTTCGTACTTCGTGCGTACGTAGCCTGTACAGTATTTATTCCCTTCTATCAAAATCGTTAAAGGTAATTATTAAAATGAGATATTCCCACGATACATATTTGAATATAACATTTACATTCAAAGCGACGTACAGTATAATGTCATTTCAAAACGTGAAATTATTAAGAGATTGAAAAGAGCGACGAGTATGCAACAAACTTGGCATTATTAAAAGCTGCCGTTTTATTATTCGAAAATTCTGTTACAATTACAAATGAAAATCTATTCAATTAGTTCCAGTAATCACAAGGTTCTATCGTAATTCAAACAAAAAATCGCAAGAAATAAAGATAATTCTCCCTTGCATGTAGATATATGCACGTACACGACTTAATCCAACTACATTTACGAAACTAACGACTGCAAACGGAAAATTAATGCTCACCGTGCAGACTGTAGGATAGTAATCGTTGCTGTCTGGTAGGGTGGCGTGATCCAAGCCCAAAAGTATGACCGCACCGTAGACCAAACCACAGCCAACGGCGGCCATATTGTTCAGTCTAGGACTCGAAAGCTTTATGCTCCTGCCGGTTGTAAGAAATGAAACACTACGCATCCTATTATATGCGATCGATGCGGTACAACGGAGGAATGGCAACACTTACTTGTGTTTGCGAAAATGTAAATTGAACGCCAAGAAAGCGAACGCTAAAGTGACACCAATGCTAGCGAGGCAAGTAACCGCTAGGAATGCCGCCGGTGCTACAGTCACCATTCTCAACCTGGTTGTGAGAAAAATAACCCATTTGGTATTCTTAAAATGCCCTCGAGTAGTAATAACGCTCGTAAATAGGGGACTGTCACGAACGCGAGAATTCTTAGTTTCTCGGTTTTGTAATCCGTACTGTAGTTTTATAATCCCTTAAATCTTAGCGTCTTTTAGGAATTTTAGGACGACCTCATACTTCGCGACAATCGGCGGAATATACGGGAAGTGATAAAAAAATTTTACCAACCCGACAGAGAAGCGTGATATTAAATATATTTTTGTCGAAGAATCCATTTAACAGGAACTTTTACGAACTGTTGCAATGTGAATTGCCCGTGTAATTGAATTTTAAAGCCAAGTCGTTTTTATAGGAAAATATCTCGCAATGTTGTTTATGGTACGAGATATCTCACGAGTATTTATTTCAGCGAAATACCATGCTTTAAACAATTTCACGCGCCAGAAAAATAAAATTACTTATCTATAGAAAGAAAATATTTTCTTCACTTAACTCTCTTCCATATTCACGAACTGACATTTAACCGAATCGTTGGACAAAATATTTTCTTCTTATAAGCAGACACGCGAAATATCTCACCTAAAGCGTGCCACGAACGGTATTGCGAGGTATTTCGTCTACAGATACGAAAATTTAACGTGCATGAATTCTCGTTACTTTACAAAATCGCGCAAACAGCGTGAACTATGAATGGGGAGGGCCATTCGACGATCTGTCTCATTTGTCAACGATTCGAAATGTGTCCATTACCTTTCTATTTTGCCTTTTTATTTATTATTAATTATTACCTTCATAATGAAATATGTAAAAGAGACGTACAGTTTGATTATCGTACGTTCAGTGG